ACAACGAGCCTAGAAAATTTAATGCTCAAGTTTTGAACAATTAAAGAAGTCGCGACAAATAAATTACTATCTGAAGAAGAGCGCGAATGCGAGATATATTTTCTAAAAACGATTTCGCGCGGCAATGACAGTCGCTACACAGTTCGCCTATCGTTCCGCAACACAAAAAATCGCTTAGGTAAATCGCGCAGCATTGAGCTTAAACGCTGTTATCGTTGGAGCGCACACTAACACGAACGCGACATTAAAGGCTAAATATAATCAGGTGATGGATGAATACTTGAAATTAAATCATATGTCTTTAAAGAATCCTGATGAAGACGATTACTATTTATCACATCATGCGGTAATTAAGGAAACACGTGACACTACGAAAGTGCAAATTGACGCTTTAACAAGAATAAATAACAGGATATCTTTGAACAATTTACTAATGATAAGCCCCATGATTCAAGCCCCGGCCTAATTGTACACTTAATTTGGTTCTGCACGTACAGCTATATTGTCACGGCGGACATTAAAAAAATGTACCGACAAGTACATAACACTACACGAGGATGATCGATGTTACCAGCGCATCCTATGGCGGCAAAGTAGAGACGTTCCAATTAATACGCTCACCATCGGCATTTTCTCCTCATCATTTTTGGTAATTTGGATGGTTCAGAAACTCGCGGATGACGAACTTCTTACATATCCGAGAGCAGAGTTATTAAATCAGATATGTATATAGACGATTTGCTAAACGAGATCGAAAACAGAGCCTCAATGAGACCCAAGCCATCCGAAATAAATAATCACGTTGTCAGCTCGGAGCGATTTCGCTATTCGACAATGGGCGTCCCATGACGAACTCTTGTGATTTGACGGCCGATGCGTTGCGCGCTGTTAAATGTAGATCGAACATTAAAAATACTTGGCATTACATAGAGCACTTGCCATGAACAAATGTTTGGTTATCGACTAATCCGATCAGAAGTTTCGAATAAGTGACAAAAAGAGTTATTTTATTGGAAATCGCAAAAATTTTTTATCCTTTAGGTTTACTAAGGCCAATAAGTTTGTACGCAAAAAATTAATACAAGATGTATGGCGGTGCATTACACTGAGATGAATCAATCCCGCAGAGTATACGGAATGGTCAACATTTACGAAACAGTGGGAAATAATGGATACGATTTCGTTTAATTGCAAACTATTCATAGAAGATTGTTATAACATCCAACTTCATAGTTTTTGCGACGTGGGTAACGTAGGTTATGGAGGCGTGCATATACGTGCGCTCGCACGAAAGGCAGGGCGAGACGCGTGTCAATTTATTGTACGCTAAATCGCGGGTTGCTCCATTGAAGACCATCTCTATGCCGCGACTCGAATTATGCGGTACTCTGTTATTGGTGCAGCTGTTCGTTCGCGAAACTAGCAATGCATCAGATCGAGTTATTCAGAAGATATTTTCTGCTGTGACTCAACTGTTGTCTTGCGTTGGTTAAATATACTCAGGCATCTATTAAAGATATACGTAGCAAATTGCGTCGAAAGCGTCCAAGAAATCAGGTTCAGCACGTTAGATCAGAGGATAATTCCGCAGATACGATTTCAAGAGGACAATTACCTCTCAATTTTTTGCAAAAGTGAATATTCAGACCCTCGTGGTTAACGAATGATGAATCCGAATGACCGAATGAGATTATATGAGATTATGTATATGAAAGAGATTCGAATTAAAAAAGAATACGTGCTTAATATTTGTGAACAGCGATCTTGACATCTTTGATAAGTTCTCTTTCTATTTTAAACTGCTTCGATCATTGCATATTGTCTTCGCGTTCGACATCCTAAGAAATATTGTAGACCATTAGGCACAGAGGAAATTAATGAAGCCGAAATTCGCGTGTTGAAATTACTACAAGGTAATCAATTTGACAACAAAATCAAAATATTGAATAAAGTCTTGAAAAACAAAAGTAAATTCGCCTAAGCTCATTTTTTAGATGAAAACGAATTAATAAGCGTTAAGAGTCGCGTTTACATGTCAAAACTCACGTTCGCGTGAAGAAACATCCGATTCCGCTTCTCGATCAACATCAGGTGATGAACTGTGTCATCCGCGAAACACATGAAAAACACCATCACGCAGGCATATAGACTATCTTATATATTTTGCGTCAGAAGTTTTGGTTACCGGATGGCCATAATCTAGTGCGAAAGATCATCCGTGTACGCGCTGTATCCGTTTCGTTGCTAACACAATTGAAGTATAAAATGGAAAATCTCTCTGCTGCTCGAATCCACGCTATACTCTTCACATACACGGGGTTAATTTTTACGGCCCATTTATATATATATATATATATATATATATTTCATATTAAAGAGAAGCAGTTCCGTCATCGATCTCAAATGTCGAAGTTTAAGTATGTATATTTATGTGCATGTCCATAAAAGCGATACATCTGGAAGTCGTGAGTGAGACTTGATCTCTGAGGGATTTCTGGCTGCATTACATAGATTCGCGGCTAGGCGCGGTGTGCCGGAACATATTTATTCTGACAACGGCACTTTATAGGCGACAATAATGAGTTCCAGGAACTGTACGCTTTGCTCAATTCTGAAGAGCACAAGGCTCTTGTAAATTGATTCGTGAACAAACATCGAATAATATGCATTTCATTACGCCCTGACGACTCCACAATTCTTTTCTTTCGTGAAAAAAAATCAGTTTTTTTCTCAAATGCGAATAACTTGCGATTATCTTCAGGATAGAATCAGTGGCATGGCTAATCGAATATTACCTTTTGGACTAATTAATTATTATAAATAACTAATTGGCGAATTCGTGGCGCGACAAGAAACGTTGCGGATGCGTTCAGATCTTTGACAATATAACATAGATATATAGCAATAATTTCATCAGACTGATAATTATCCCATGCAACAGAAAGAGAGGTAGGAGAACATGGTATTCACTTATATCTTTAATTTTGCATTTATAAAAAATCTATTCGACATTTCAAAAGTAAAAATATGTAGTTTGTAGTGAGAGAGAGTCAGAGATATTTTATAACTTACAATTACAATAATAAAGAGAATTATACTATGAAAAATTATTTATTGTTTTCAAGCGTTCGAATGAAGTAATTTCAAGACTTCTTAATCTTATAAAATGTTATATAGTATTTTATCTTATGTTAGAATTGCCTATAATGTTAAACAGATATTTGGAAAAAATTATTTTAAAACTTGTTCAAAAGCGAGTCAGAGCGAGAGCGCTGCGTGAAAATTTAAGTGATATGGCGTTTAGTTGTATTGCGCTTCAATCCAATAATATTCTTTGCGAATCAAACGCGGCGGTTTTCTGGCGGCGGAGCGTCTCCTTGGCGGTGCACTGATAACAATGCATTGACTCAGAACGGTGGAAAACTAAGAGAGAGATTGCTTCTCGGTTTTGCCTTTTATGCTCTGTTGAGAACAAAGGCTTCCCTTTGCATTCGCCTATGAAATTTTTGCAAATTAAAAAATTTGAGGTAATCCTCTGTTTCGGGTGGCGATTGGCGATTTCGAGCGCAACGGCCAAGCGGCACGCTATTGCCATGCGCGCCCGTTAAATCTGTATTCTTGATTGGGATGAACGCATATTACGCGTTTTGTGTCACGCGATCGCGCGTGCGCTGCGACCGATCCGAGTTGATTCGCCGTTATAGCGGTTAAGATCTGCGTACGTGTGACGTGCGGCTTAGCTTATTGTTTTTCGACTTTATCGACGAGGTGATAGTCGAGTTTATGTTTTGGAAACTTCTAAGGACGCTTGGGATCCTTCTAGAAGCTTTCGATCCGAATGTCGCACGAACGCCAAATATGGAAAATATGTATATGTGTTGCCCGTATCTTGAACAAAACTTAATACTGTCAACTTAAATAAATAAAATAACGAGTAATTGAGAGCAATAATCCGCGGTAATTCGTGTGTAATGTTAGAACAACGTGTATTCAAAATTTTTTTCTTGGCTCCAGCACGCAGTTATACAACTTTATGTTACATTCTCTAGATATTGCAATCTGTGAGACTCTTCTTATTACAATTTAATTGCTGATTACTTTTATCGTGCTTAATAATCCATCAATTTATGTATTATTGCTAAGAATGGCTCGAACGAAGCCGAAACGTACAGTCGTTATTTGTAAAATGTAAATGTAAGAATATTTGAATACATGTTATTCTAACATTACGAATTACCGATTTTATTTTTTATTGTTTTTATTATGCCTAAACACTGAAAAATTCAGTCAAGGAAACAATGAGAAAGAATGGAAAAAGTATGGAAGTTTAGACTCACAATCAGTCTTACAGGTATATACACAGAAGCGAATATTTGTGAGTCATAAGTAGGATAAGAGTAGCGATTCTAACTCACTATAGGTTAGTGCGTATACGATGTGTATGTGTATGAGGAAGTCAGAGAAGGGAAAGTGCTTCACAGACATTGGGAAGGAGGAAGCACGTCACCGGGATCCATGATTGAGAGGGAAGGGTTTTCCTTCTCTCTTCCACCCATTGTAGGATCCTTCTCTCTGTCTCACTCGTTGTAGGACCCTATACTTATCATAGTACTCTCTCTTCTTCTCGTTGTATTCTTTCTTATGTTCTTTTTTCTTCTTTAGCACGTAATTTTATTAAATATATTAGGTGTTGGAATTAATTCGTAGCGTTTTTTAATGAAAGAATGTTATTTATTTCACATGAGCATTAAAAAATACATTAATGAAAGTACTTCCCATCACTTGTAAAACGCTACGAATTAATTCCAACACCTAATATATGGTACCTATTTTATATTTCTTTTAATGATATGACTTAGCAACTAATTTTAATAATATTTTATATAATAATATAGACGAGCAACCGAGCGCGCTATCTCTTACTATCTATAATTATTACCTTTTCTCTCTCTTTCTCGCATTCTTTATATAACTCTCATGTTTTGCCTCTTTTCTTGCAGGCAAAAATTTAAGATTTTTATTCTACCGAATTAATGAGTGCAAATCAAACATTCAATGAGAGCGCGATGACACCATTAGACGTCATGATAACGACACGCCTGGTAACCTGGTAACATGAAACCGCCAAGGAATGAGCGAAGAATGAACGAAGGAAAAGATAATAGGAAAGTAGCCGAATAATTCCATACCGTTCAAATATATATATTTTTTAGCACAGTTTTCTACAAAATAAAATGAAAAATATTTATTAACTTATTTATTTCTATACATATATAATATAAATATAAATTTATGTTCCTTTCACGAGAGATCCCAGGTCTCTCTACACCATCATGGCCATCTTTCTTCCTATTTTCGCTTATTGCCATAGCATCGTTCATTAGATCCTTTAAATACCTCTCACATTCTTCTACTCTATCGATTGTTTGTATAATCGCAGACATCTGCACAATCTCTGATGTATGAAACATACATAGCAAGACTTAAATAGCATAAATTAAAATAGATCTCATGTACACATGGAGCATTTATCGCATGCAAAATAATAAGAACTTGATCACGCTCAGAGCATCATTGCGAATGAGTGCACAAAACTTCATACACGCACAAAACTTCATACTTACACCCCGACTATCGAGCCTAACGCGAAGTCATAATGCTCCACGTTAATGTCTATGACCATTAACATATATACTTACATTGTTCCTAACAATTGATGTTCCTGAGCAACGCGAACATTAATCTGCAGTGAATCAGGTGCATTCTGGATGATGTTAGTAAACGTCTGATCTATTCATTGCACAGAAGCTGATAATGCTCTATTGATAAGAATCGAAGCTTTCGCACGTAATACTAGCTTGATCAAAAAGTTTCCGGAATTCATTCAGAAAATTCAAAATACAAGTTTATTCATCAAAAGTGATATTGTCCCCTTCAAAGTACTCTCCAGCGACTGCAACGCACTTATGCCAGCGCTTGATCCAGCTCTCGAAACATTTCTGGAACTCTATTATTGGTAAGCCATCAGAGCCGTCTTCGATTTTTCCATTACCTCCTTTTGGCTGTTAAAACGCGTTCCCTGCAGTGGTTTTTTGACTCGACCGAACAGAAAAAAATCGCAGGGAGCCATATCGGGTGAATTTGATGGCTGTTGGATGGTATTCGTTTTGTTCTTGACCAAAAATTCACGGATAATGATGGCACTGTGCGACGGTGCGTTATCATGGTGCAAAATCCACGAGTTGTTTACCCACAAATCCTTTCTTTTTTGACGAATTGCTTCACGCAAACGTCTCATAACGCCCAAATAATACTCCTTATTAACTGTCTGACCTTCTGACAAAAATTCGTGATGTACAATACCGTTGTAATCCATGAAAACCGGGGGCATCGCTTTCTTTTTCGACTGAAAACGACGTAGTTTTTTTGGTCTTGGCTCATTTGGAGCTCTCCATTCACTCGCCTGATGTCTGGATTGCGTGTCGTACTCATAAACCCACGTCTCGTCTCCAGTAATGATGCGTTTGATGAATGTTGGGTCGGATTCAGTCTTGGAAATCATGTCTTTGGCGATGTCAACGCGGTCCCTTTTTTGCATGAAATTCAGGTCCTTCGGGACCAACTTTGCAGTTTAGAACATCACTGCCGAAACAGTTTCCCAACATTTCCAAGGTTTTCGCACCATTGAATCCATTTTTAACGCAAAATTTAATACAAACTCGTTGTTGCAAATTCAACTCCATTTTTAAAACTGTAAAAAATCGAAAACACGCGCAGAGGTAGATGTACTCAAGACGGCGTAATTTTTACAAATGTCAAGCTATGGCGATAAAATTTGATGGAAATGTCAATGATAGATGTGGCAACCTAGCCAAAAAAAGAACTCAAATCAGCTGACTCAGAGCATCACCTGGTGGTCTCTTCCGGAAACTTTTTGATCAAGCTGGTATAATTTAACTGTGGAGCTGCAAAGATAATGTTATCCACATCTATAATTGCAATGACAACCTCTGCATAATCTGCTCTGCATATATTAAAATTCAATAAATAATAACAATAATAAATAACAATAATAAATAATAAAATTCAGATGAGAACACATACATGAAAATAGAGAGAGATCTCACAAGAAAGTTCACTAATGAGTTGCATAATATATTTATAAAATGGAAGACCAAAAAATTTATTGATGAATTAACAGGCTTCTCACTATCGATGAAACTATTCCTAGATGTAGTTTCGGCGCGCCGAAAATCCATAAACAGAATATTCCGTTGAGATTAATAATATCCTCGCTTAATAGTCCACTTTACAATCTCTTTTGTTATTTATATTACATCATTAAAGAAAGTATTCCAGTAACACATAGTCATGTGGAAAATAGCTTTCAATTTATATAAAAACTGAAAGGAAGATATTTTGAGTCTGATTATATTTTGGCTTCGCTGGATGTGATTTTGCTCTTTACTAATGTTCCTATTGATTTAGCACAGAAAAGTATAATCAAAAGATGGAATAACATAGCGAATAATACAAAAATAACACAGAAAGAGTTTTTGATTACTAATTTTAATTTTAATTCCACATTTTTTGTCTTTAACGGTTCGTTCTACAAACAGATTTATAGCACATCGATGGGATCGCCTTTGTCCCCTATTATAACAGAAATAGTTCTGTAAGATTTAAAAGAGTAGGCTATGGAGAGATTATTGCAATTACCTATATATTACAGTGTTACGTCCTGTAGACACCATGATTCTTTTCTTTCGTAAGAGTCGGCTCCACATCGCGATTACGATTGGGGTCTATGAGATTCGAATGGAATCCCCTGATAACGGTCTGACAGAACTGAAAAGAAGAACCAGACAAGCTCCGCGAAAACTCATAAACGCCAATCAACCCGAAAGGAATAACAACAATCTTAATGCAGTCCCAAAAGATGACAAGATTGCGAAAGATATTATAAATGCGCCTAAGACACGCAATAGTAAAAATCCAAGCTTTGTCGTCGCAGGCTGACTAACAATTTCATCTTAAAAAAAACAGGTGCCACGTCGCACTTAAAAAATCGTAAAACGCATGGGATAACTTATACCATGGTAGCGTTATCTAAGATCGGACTCACGACTGACAATGGTTGCCCTGCACGCAAAACTATAATAGTTATGCACGATAATCGTCCGTTTATTTAGTCATATTTTCCGCGAGGATAACAGAATTCGTCATCCGTCTGAAGCAATCTCTTTAAAGAAAAACGTAAATCATTTTTTTTTTCGAAATCCTTCTAATGATGCAGTTTAGATTAATAATATAGGACGTTATAAAAATCGTAAATTTCGCGCGACATTGCAACTAACTATTGCATCCTAGACAAAGGGCACTACACCCTTTTTTCGGAGTATAAATAGAGGTCCCGCGGAAGCGCAAAGCGTCAATACGAAAGTTAAAGTAACCTGATTCATGTCAGTACGGTTCACCCCAGTGAAAAACCACGCCAGTAAACCCGTTCACGCTGAGTTCGCGTATCTGTGCTCGAGTCCATCGAATTATTAGAATCAGCCAGGTACTTCCCATCAGACTACTACCTTCCTGGTGCTCTTGTGGGGACACAGGAGCTGGGCTCCTGAGTTAAATACCCGAAGGTTGTGGACCAAACAATCCCATGCACTTCAACAGTAAATCGGTTGTTATACGCTCAATCATATATGTCCCCCGTGTGGACATACAAATATATATGCATATATATGTATATATTTAATATATTCATATTTAACGTACATTTATATTTAATCCCTTCGGTTCCGTTATAATGCGCGTGCGTAGTACAAAAAAAAACACGGGGACAAACCTCGTATGTCCGAAGAAGTAGGCGGAGCCGTCCACCTAGCCGAAGTGTGCCGCCACAACCGACGAAGGTTTTTTAGAGATTTCATACTCGCCAATCTCCGAAGAAACACAACCGATAGACCTGATCACTCCCTTTGTTCTTGACCCATCCGGGAGATCTTTAATAATTCCTCTTCCTCAATTAAAGAGCGATTCCCTCCTCTTCCTCCTTTAGATCGGCTCCCATTTCCTCCTCCATACCAATCAGATCCCGTACCGATCGTACTGGGAGGCTTTTTAGACTCTATTTCCCCCCCTCTAACGAAAGGAATAGACTAGTAACTGTATACTCCAGGAAGCTCTCCATCTTACATCGTTCTTTACAAGCACCTAATTCCAATGTACTCCTGTACTTCCTTCAATTTCCATCAGCCCTATCTTCCTCCTCTCCGATACACACACATACACATACACACACACACACACACACACACACACACACACCCCTCAACAAATCCGTTAATGATACGAGAGCAAGTCAATAAGTTCTTAGAAAATCTCAGAGGGTACTCGCAGTGTCATGTCATATTACTTTTTGACAAGTAGCATCTTTCGATTGATTACTGTCAAATTTTGAACGGAATTCATCGCGTGATTTCATTTCTGTAGACGATTAAAGCGAACAATCTTTGTATTTTTTGCAAAATGGAAAAAAATGAGTTTCGTGCAGTGATCAAACATTTACATATGAAAGGTTTATATCGAAAAAAATCAAACCGAGTTGGATAATGTTCATAGCACATTTGCCCTAGCGTTTGCAACTGTATACAATTGAATGAATAAATTTAAACGTACATCCACATGTGATGCATCTCATTCGGTTCCAATTGAGGTTGCTACGCCAGAAATCATCGATAAAGTCCACAATATTGTTTTGCCTGATCGATGAAGTCGAGTGAAAGTGTGCGAGCTTGTTGAGGCCATAGACATTTCACATAGCACAGTAATTTCAATTTTGCACGAACATATGAAAAAGTTAAAAAGCAAGATGGGTGCCGTGTTTGCTCACTGTGGACCATAAGCGCGACCGTGTGACGATTTCAAAACAAAGTTTGGAGATGTTTCAACATAATCTAGATGAATTTCTGCGTCGATTCATTATTGTGGACGAAACATGGATCCATTACTTTACATACGAGATGAAGGAACAGTCAAAACAATGGACTTCACCGA